AAACAGGGCCGCCTGGTAGCCCAATGATCCAGGGACAGAAGGAAGGGCGGGGCAGGCAGTGCAGGATCCAGGAGAGCACAGGAGCCCCTGGAGCCCAGGCTGAGGGTGCCCAGGCTCTCTTACTGGGAGCCTTGAGGCTCACTGCTCTGGGTGGGTAGCCTTAGAGTAGGAGCTTAAAGTAGGAGCTTAAAACTGTTGTTGAGCACTGGTCCTAGCACACAGCAGGGCAGGGTTGGGAGTTGGGTGCTGGGGTGTTGAGTCCTGGTAAGAAAGACAGCCCTGCAGAAGGAGCTGGGGGAAGGGGGTTTGTGCTCTCTTCCGGGACTATCGCCCCTGGATAGCACACACTCACCTGTCCAGATGGAACTCCTCAGCACCTAAACAGGGCCGCCTGGTAGCCCAATGATCCAGGGACAGAAGGAAGGACGACGGGGCAGGCAGTGCAGGATCCAGGAGAGCACGGGAGCCCCTGGAGCCCAGGCTGAGGGTGCCGGGCTCTCTTACTGAGCAAATCAAGCTAATGAAAAGAAAAAAATAAATAAAATAAAAAGGCAGTCACTTTCCTTTGGTGGGTAGTAAACACTGGTAGTTGTCTATGTCCTAGTGGATGATGTTCACATGGGAAGAACTAATTGGACTCTGGACTCAGTGGGTTACAATAATAAAAAATAAATAGGGCATATGCTGAGGATTTCCAGAAGAAAAATTTGAGAGGGTGAATCGGTAGGGTATATGATCAAGATATATAATATACATGTATGAAATCTCCAGAGAATTGAGTTACTGCTTTTAAAATAGAAAGGTCATTATAATTTTAAAATATAATCATTGAGTAAAAAGTATAGGTTTCAGAAGTTAACAAGTACTTTATTATAAACTTGATTTGCAGTTCTTAAGGAGGTTGTTGTGTTTTGAATAAAATTGGCCCCAATAGACCAGAGAGTAGCATATTAAGAGGCATGGCCTTGTGTGAATAGCTATGTCATTGTTGGAGGAAATGTGTCACAGTTCACTTCTTGCTGTCTGTAGATCAGGATGTAGAACTCTCTGTTGTGTGATAATCTTTTTGTACATTATAATGCTGTATCTTTGCCAAGGTACTTTCTGATTGGTTTGATAAAGAGCTGAAGGGCAAATAGCTAGGCATGAGAGAACATGCAGGACTTCTGGACAAAGATGGGAACTAGGGGAATGATCTGAGGTACATGTATTTTTGCAAGCCAGACACAGAGAAGTTGAATATACAATTTGGAGGAGAGGTAACAAGCCACATGGCAGCACAAAGATTAATATAAAGGGGTTAATTTATGTTATAAGAGCTAGTTGGAAGCAAGACTAAGCTAAGACCAAGCATTCATAATTAATAAGAAGTTCCTGTGTCATTATTTGGGAACTGGTAGTCCAAAGAAATTCTGACTACAAGTCTCAGCTCCTTCTCCATATGCCTGCCTGTTTGTAACCATGTTTCCCTATGTGATAATGATGAACAAAACATCCGAAACTGTAAGCCAGTGCCAATTAAATGTTTTCCTTGTAAGAGTTTCCATGGCCATGGTGTCTCTTCACAGCAATAAACTCTAAGACAGAAGTTGGTACCAGGAACTGGGGTATTGTTGTGATGGGCCAGTGTTGTAGAAAATTATTTTAAGGAGCATTACTTTTGTTTGTGAGGCATTTCTTTAATTCTTTGAAGCTGTGATTCTTTGCTAGTCTAAACACCTGATGGTCTAAAAAAGAGATGAATAGCCAATAGCGAAGCAAGAGGCTAGCGGGGTTGGTAGGCAGAGAGGATAAGTATGAGGAAAAATCTTGGAAGAACAGGAAAGAGCAAGATAGAACACGTAGAAGAGGATGTCAGGGGCCAACCAGCCAGACACCCACCCAGGCATGAAGTTAGTATGAAAGTAAGATATACAGAAGTAAAAAAAGAAAAAAAAATCCCAGAAGCAAAAGATAGTTGGGATAATGTAAGTTAAGGAAAGCTGGAAAAAAAACAAGTCACATTAAGGCTAGACATTTATAAGTAAGAATTCAAGCTCTGTGTGTGATTAATTTGGGAGCTGGATGGTGGGGCCCCAAAGACCAAAAGAGTCAAACATTGAAACAAAACAAACAAGAACAATATTCCAGATCGTGCTTTTGTTCGGGGAGAATATAGACTTTGGACTATGCATTAGAAAAACAGTTGAATGCTTTAAGTGGGATCTTAATGGACCATTTCAGTAGAAAAATGGAAGATAGTGGTGATTTAAGCTGTGGGGGTCTGTCTCAAGAGATTGCAGTAAAGAAGAATGGTAGTATGTTGCCTAGAGATTGGCCTTGTGATATTGGTGAAGAATATGACTGATTTTTGCCCTTGTTGGAAAAGTCTGCCTGAGGCTAAACTGAAAGAGTTTTAGATTAATTCTGTTGGCAGAGAAAATCTCAAAACAACCTAATATAGACTCCGCAGTATGGTTACTGGTGGTAACTACAATGAAGATTTATAATGAAATAGAGAAAGCTGATCAAAGAAAAATAAAAGATGTAGAACAATTTGAGGAAAAAAGAGCATCAGGAAGTAGAATAAAATGAAGTCCTGTGTTCAAGAAGATATGCAGATGAAGAAATGGAATAAATGGAGTGGTGATCTCAGGGTCAGATCCCTCCTAGCTATGATTCCAACTTGGGAAAATGAACAAAAGTAATAGTGTAGGTCAAGGCATGGTAGTTATTTCCACTGCCACTGCTGAGCACTCTGAAAGCAGCACGAGGTAGATCTCTGAGTTTGAGGCCAACTTGGTCTACAGATCCAGTTTCATAACAGCCAAGCTTAAGCTGTGAACGAAACCATGGGAAACAGAAAGCTGTTGAAGATATAATCCAACAAGAGGGCCACGTTCCAGCCCCAGCAAGTAGTAGAACTTAGCAGCTTCAGTCACATGATTCTGGCTTTATAATCAAGGATAGATGAAAGGGGTTATGGAATCTCCCTCTGCAACTAAGGACAGCAGTCGAGGCCAAGTATATTGCAGAGGGGTCCCTGCATGGTCTTCCAGAAAGACTATTGAGTGAAACTGTGAAGGTAAAGCCTGGATTGCCTTGGAAATCCAAAATGTTGGAGATGCCATAGTCATGGGATATCTGCCAAGGAAAACTGCTAACAAGGAATGGAACCAGCCCAGCCCAAGGGAAAGATGGGTGGTGTTGTCAACAAAGCTTAAAGTAAAGTAGTTGAAGATCTGAAGAGTATGTTGACATCAAACATAGAAATAGCGATTTTGAAGTATGTCCAGCTGCTTTCCAGTCTTGATTTGTTCCAGTATTTCCTTGCTGTACTCCCTTTCCTATGTTTATAACAGTAATGTATATCCTGTACCATTTTATGTTGCATGTATGTGATCAGCTTTTGTGCTTTGATTTTAGAGAGGATTACAGTTAAAAGACTGCATGAATCTTAGAAGAGACTTTGAACTTTAGCTTTTTAAACAAGTTTGAAACTGTGAAAGACTATGGGACTTTTGAAGTTGACCTGAATGCATTTTTGCATTATGTTTTGCCTCAAGTCTATGGGGCTAGGGAGTGGCATGTGGGGGTTTGAATAGAAATGCCTTCCATAGACGCAGGGAATGAGCCATTAAGAGGTGTTATGTTGCTGGAGTATTTGCTAAAGTAGGTGTGTGCACTTCCTGATGCATGTGGATCAAGATAGAAAATCCTCAGCTTCTTCTCCAGCACCACATATGCCTACATGCTGCTGTTTTCCACTATGAGGATAATGGACTGACCCTCTGAAACTGTAATCTAGCTCCACCTAAATGTTTTCCTTATAAGAAAAAAGCATAGATCAGTAAAACTGAAGTTTATAAAAGTAAAATGGCTATCTCTGACATGTCTCAGTTGTGCCTCTTGACTTCTCTGTAATAGGTTTGTGTTAACTTTAAGATGTGGATAACAATATCACTTGTGTCACACAGAGACATTGTAAAAAGGATTTGTATCTCTACATGTTGGACTACTTCCTGACATATAGTGGATACTGAGTCTTATGTATTAGTACTGTTATCTTACCTCTTCATTAACTTATCTAATGATAAGAAAATTATGATATAAAGAGAGCATGATTTATAAATCACCATCTATCTTCTCTATGAACTTCTCTTCATCAAATTATAGTTTAGTAACAGTGTAATTCAGATTAATGTTGCCTTTATCATTTTAAGTTCTTAATCTGCCCATTCTGATTAAAAGGGAGTATTTGTCTAGGCCATGGAGAAAATAGTCTTCCTACCTTCCACCAAAAAAAAAAAAAAATTAGACAATTAAAACAGTCTACAATGAAAGAAAGTCATTTTCTTTAGTTAATACTGCTGTGTCTAGTTCTAATGGATCACTAACAGACCATGAAATATGACTGTGTGAAGCAATAAGAGAAAAGAATGTTTATGTGCACAGAAAAATTGGTAGCAACTGAAAGGTTAGAGACTTAAAAGAGAATGATCAGAGACAAAGACTGGTATGGATCTCCTAAGGAAGCAATCTTGAAGTCCTTTTTAGAAAGCAATAAGTAAATAAAAGAAGAAGGAAAGTATACCTTTCCTGAATTCTTTCTCGGTATGTTGGTCCTTTTCATATGGCGAGGTTTCTGATGTTAATTCTGTGTTATGCTACTTTGCTGAAGGTGTTTATCAGCTGTAGACATTTCTGAGTGGAGTTGTTAGGGCTTTTTACATATAATATCATATCACCTGGAAATAAATATATTTTGGATTCTTCCATTTCTACTTGATGGCCTTTAGTTGTATTATTACTCTTGCTAAATTTTCGAATACTAAATTGAACACCATCAAGAGAGTGAAGAGCCTTGTCTTAATCTTGGTTTTAGTAGAAATGTTATAATTTTCTCCCCATTTTGTCTTCATTATGTTGAACTGTGCTCTTGTATCCATAGTGTCTCCAGAAATCTTATCGTGAATGGATGTCATAGTTCATCTAAAGCTTTACTGTATCTAATGAGATGACAGTGTGCTTTTTATCTTTTAGTCTGTTATGTAGTAGATTATACTTATGGCTTATATATCTTGAACTATTTATCTGTGGGATGAAGCCTACTTAGTCACAGTTTAAAATCTTTTTTGATGTTCTTGAATTCAGTTCTTAAGTATTTTACTGAGAATTTTTTCATCTATGTTCATGAGGTATACTGGGCATTTATAATTTTTTTTTGTTGGATCACTGTAGGGTTTTGGTGTCAGTGTAATGGTAGTAGCATCATAAAAATATCAAAAGATGTTTTTACTTTGAGACATATTGCTGTTAACTCTTCTTTGGCGGTCTGATAGAATTCTATGCGAATTCCGTCAGACTCACATCAGACTCCGTTTTTTTTTTTTTTTTTTTTTTTTTTCCCGGTCTAAAGGTTTTCAATTAAAGTTTCCATTTCACTAGGGATTATTGTTCTGTTTAAATTATTTATTTCATCTTGATTTAAATTTGATTAATTGGTCATAAATACCTCTTATTTTTCTACTTAAAAAT